TTTATTGTCTTTTCCACAACTAAAGCCATTTATTCATTCCCACACATCTCTTTGTAATCAGGGCTGTACTTGAGTCACAGAGAACATTAAAAAAAAAAAAAAAAGGTGGAAAACAGCTCTCACGTGATCATGGTTTTTGTCAAACGAGTCAGTATTAAAAGAGAACACGGTTAAAGGAAAACAAGCTTTTTGCAAGTTATCTCAAAGAATGGGCATGAAGTTTAAGGCAGGTATTGCACCATGGAAAGTACTTGGGTACTTAGCTCAGAAGCCTGTGACTTTTTTCCCTGCCCAAACAGGGCTTTTTTAAGGGTGGAGGAAGACCCACTCATTTTAGTCCAGAGTAATCAAAAGTTCCTTGTCTCTCAAAACCAAAAGGACTTGGTCAGAACATTTTAATCCTACTTGCAGTATCCCAACAAAGAATGGCACAGCATTTCTATGAAGTGAGCAAAGCAGGGTAGCCCAACAGGACACTGCCCTACAAACTGTCTTGTCACCTCAGTGATACAACAAACCAATCTGACACACAAAGGTTCTGACAAAGGTCTAGCTTGAAACAGTTGTGAAAGATGGGTGGAAAACAATAAATATGTTACACTTCTGCGAGATAGAATTGGAGATACGCTTGCTTTGTGTCACACTGTGCAAACAGTGGAGGAGTTAAGGAAGTTAAGAGCTTCCTTCCCATCGTATTGGGGATGCAACACCATGGTGCAGGTGAGGTGACCATGGCAAACAACACCTTCTTCTCCAAGCAGCTGACTCAACAAGTAAAACAGGCAAGTTTGCTAGAGTAGAAGATGAAATGAGATGGTATCTCAGTTCACTACGTAAAAAATAGTTAATTAGCAGATCTTTAAGAAAAGCTAAGACTACACTAGGCTAAGCTATTATTATCTTCTATGGAAATGTAAGTATTTGCATGCTTTACTTACTTCCTCCCTTTGCATTTGTATCTCATATGCTAATAAAAGTGCTAGGTCAGATACCGTCGTAACAGCCAAAAATTACCTCCCAATCACCCAGTTCCAAAGGGTCCGACTTTGTTGATTATGAATCTGACTATATAATCAACGCTACAAGGCACAAAGAGTATATATAGGAAAGGCAATATGCTAAGAAAGCAACAGCTGTGAGCTTTTTGGAAGAAAAACAGCGGATCAAACTAAAGATGAGAAAAAAAGAGATGGTGTCAAATATAGCATGGCAAGTTAGAGTATGGCTCTGTGAGGAAGACCTACACTGTGACACCACATTCAAGAAAGGAAGTTACTGACAAGGACTGATGATGAAAACATGAACAAGCCCTGGAAAAAAATTTCACAGGAAATACGAGTCAAGATGCTACAGACTGGAAGGCAGCTGCATTACAACGGGCAGGTATCAAAAAACAGATCGAAGTCAGAGGTGACATCAAAGATAAAACTTTCTCAGGAGACAGAAGTGGTAAAGTGTACTAGTTTTAAACCAGTGGAAAAAGAAGTTATCAATTCAGCACACAATTTTATCTGGAATTTGGTTTGCTTTCTACGGGCACAACCAAAACAATAGCAAGACACCCTACCAAAGGATGACCACAATGGGCTTAACTGAGGAAGAGCCTTCAGACAGGAACAAGCAGTGAAGTTTTATCTTCAAGGAAGTCTTGAAAATAGACAAACCATAACAATAGACTGGAAAAAGGGGGATGAGTACCATACACTGTTAGGGCTAAGCACTGTTCCTGTTCACAGGAGAAATCAAGGGGGTGGCATAACTGTGAACAAGGGCAGAGGAAGGACATGGGCAACCACGATGCCACCTCGAGGAGTCAAGTCCACTCTACTGCTCTCCACAAAGAGTGATATGACGCATCTGTTATTGTTACACCTGAGCAATTCACATGTAAATTATATGGCCAAAACATCTGCAGGAAATACTGCAAAAATACAAATATTTGGGGCCTCATTACTCAGATACATACCTAAATGTCAATGCAACTTAATTACCGCTGGCAATTAAGCACAGAACTAGGATCACCAAAGTTAAACCCTCTGTTATTCTACCTCACAGTTACGCTGTTTTCAGAGGCTATTATATATAAGCACTGAAAATGAGGAGCAGTGATTTTAACAATGCTTTTTGTTAGTTCACTTCGTAGAAAACAACTCAAATTTAATTCCAGGCCCACTAGTGAATGTGTCCTAGGTGCCCAGTCCTGAAAGGAGCAAACCAACTTAATGTGTGAAAGTCTACTTGAACTTAAAACACAACTGCTGTTAAAATTTAACTAGTATGAGAATCTGGAGGGAAGAAAAGCATCACTTGAGGTTATACCAAGGTCAAGTCCCACAGAAATAAACAATATGTTTTATAAAGCAAAACCTGCAACCCAGGCTACCTTAATTCTGCAGTAAAGCACATTTATAATACTGAAAACTAAATCTGTGTGGAGATAAATAAACAACAAAATATAGTCAGTATAAGCATTATAAGCATTATGTTCTGAGTTATTGACAATTTTAATATCTTTGCAGCTACAAAATGTCATAAATACTGCATATGCAAAATGTAATTGTTGAAGTAAACTGAATGCTATTTGAAAATTGTAGGATAACCTTTCTGAAAGCACAAGCTAAGGACAAAAGAATTTATTTAACAGTTATGCAAAATATATGTAAGTACTTTATCTTCATGTTTTTACTTTTTCCTGTGCTAGCCACCATTTTCCTTGCCAGTTTTGCTCATTGCCAGCTTCCCTCATCACCAGGTTCCTACCGTTTGCTTTTTAAACATTCTTAGATCTCACAGCAAATTAGTAACTCTGAATTTATTATTCCCATCGACAAAATGAAGGAAGAGTGGGAACAGACCCAGAGAGTAATTAAGAAATTCTTACAGCTAGGAACAGACCAATTTCTTCCTCCTCCTCCACACATCAGTTTAAATATGCTTTGTCCAAAAAGATGTATGTAGGTATTAAACAAACCCTACTGCCTGATACGACTAACTATGGAAAGGGGTTAATTTGAGATTGTTCATGTTTTAAAGTCTGTTAAACAATGAGTAACTAGCTTATCTGAATTATATTTCAGTTTTAAAGTAAATTATGTATGTCTGTTTGCATTTCTGTAAGTATTTGGGTTTAATCATCTATTTAGGCTCTTCCGCAGCACCCACAACTCATCTCTTGTTCTTGATGGATATTAAAAACTTTAACTTGTTCCTTCAGGAAGTGGGCGTTGGGTTACAGATAATAACCCACTAGTACGCAACCACCCCAGAGGCACAACTGCCTAGATGCTGAAATAAAAACCTTGACGTCACAGTTTAAACCAAATTTCCTGGAGAACTACTTCAAGATGCTGCCAAAGCTGTAGAATGGGCAGCAGCGAGTAGTAATGTCTTAAACTGAAGAACCAAAGATACAGCAGAGCATATAAAAAGAACATATTGTTTGGACTTCGGTTTAAGTCATTTAGCCTAAATGAGTCAGCTTCACAGGGCTGAAAAAGCTTGTTAAGATGCAGGCTTCAGTTCTGAGTTTGTGTCAGCAGCATATCATTGTCTAGAGGAACCAGGTTTGGGTATAACTCCATAGCCAGATACACTGCTACAGAGCTCTGCCCCACACTCTGTGCTCCCACACCTGCCTAGCTTTCAGCATCTGATTTAAAGCTAAACCAGGGATTTCTAAATCGTAAGGCAGCATTAGGTAAGGGAATTGGTGCGGGTTAAACCCAACAGGTCCCAGGGCTCTGCACTGCCCTGGAAGTGCAAGGACAGCTGCCCTCTCTGGACAATTGTTTTAGTCTTCTTTTTGCCCAGTCCTTCCTGTTAGGGTCAAGGAACACCCAGTGCTTCCAATGCCAGGCTCCTGACTCAGACTGGAAGATTTTATGTTGGTATAATTAAAAGATACTAAGCAATATGGAGCCATAACACTAAGTCTATTTCATTAGCTTTAACTGTTATAAGCCTCACCTTTGTATTTGCCAACTCCTGCTGTGCTTCTGCCTCACACAAATTGTTACTGCACAGGCATCTTTATTCTTCGTTTGCAAAGTCTCTGACAATTTCCATTCTGCACAAAATGACTTAGAATATTGTATCATACCTTAGAGCTACCAAGGTGCTTTAGCTTCAACGTTTTCAAATTACTGCATATATAAAAATATCTTTAAAAACAGACCCCTCTTCCAAGGATTTGGTGGAGCTGAAAACTACTATGCCTTCAGTAGTAGATACTCAATGAAATACCACATCCTGAGAGTGTTTTCATTTACACAGAACTGCTGTACACAACCAGATGTAAGCGTAGGTTAATTTTCAGGCATTTGTTACTTCAAGCTCATTATTTCTCTCTTTGTGCTGGGTCTTACAGAGCCAGTGAGAATACAGTTAATAGTATATCCAAGGAGCCATCAGAGGCTGATGTTTCGACTCTGAAGAGGTGCAAAGCAGAGAGATGAAACACAAACTTCCCAATTGCTGTTGCAACGACATGTCTCGATCCTGCCTGCATGGACCAGGCGGCCTTTCAGCCCCCACCTAACTCCAGATATTCTTCCCTCCTCTGCCACCGTCTCACTCCAGGCACCCACGGCACAGCCCGGAAGAGCCCCTACCCTGACCCACACTACACAGCACCTTCCCTGGCTGGTGTCTGGGAGATGATCCACACAGCCCTGAGCAGCCCCGCTGCCATCCACGTCAGCCTCAAATCAAGTTAAGTCAGGAGAAAAGGCACCGTCACACGTTGTGTTTGGGAGCAGGTAACTAACACACGCGCGCGGGTCTGTAGTCACACCACTTTAAGGCACATGAAAGTTGTTCTACAGTGCTGTACCTCCATACCCAGCAGACCCACGGGGCGGGCCCGGCTGCGCCCAGCGCCGACTTCCCGAGTGTTTCTACCGAGAAGCCAAAGTCTTCGGCCGCCCTCCCGCACCCGGAGCCCACCGCCCCGTTGCCAAGGCCCATTGTACGCCGGCAGCCATCCGTCCGCTGCCGCCTACCTGCCGGTCCCCGCCGCGCCGTGCCGGGGCCGGGCGCCTGCTGCACGGCTTTACTCTTCCTCAGGACGCTGCCCATACTCCGCTCCGCTCCGCGCAGCGCCGCACCGCGCCCGCGCAGCCACCCTGCCCCCGGCGGCGCCCCCTCGCGGCCGAGGCCGCCCCCGCCGACGGCCCTGGCCCGGCTCTGTCGCGATGGCAACAGACGCGGGAGCGAGCCCAGCCCCGGAACCGGGGCGACCCCTCGCGGTTGCCGGCGGCGGGCTGGCGGCACTGCAAGAGCGGAGCGGGAGGGTTCTGCCGTGGCCTTTCGTGGCTGTGCCGTGAGGCGGGCAGGCAGGGCGGTGGCGGCGGTATGGGCGCTTCGGAGGGAAGGAGCCGGCGCGGAAACGCCGCCTGAAGGGAGCATTTTCTGCTGCGGGGACGGGGCGAGAGGCTGACCCTCGCCAAGCGGACCTGCCTGCTGCGGGATGCTGGGGTTCAAGGAGCATCTGGGGAGGTGGTTCAGAAATATATACTTATCACAATTAATGGTTCGTACTATGGAATCTCTCTAAAAGAAGACACCCTAACTGAAGGATGCACTGTGCAAGGCAAATGCCTGATGAGGCTTATCACACTGCTCCATTCTGGGCTCGTGAAGTTATCTGCACCCTTATCTTCCAGCACTGCCCCGGTGTGGTGCCTTTCACACGAGGACATGGCAAGCGGCGTGCCTGCCAACAAGGGTTTGTGATCTACACTGAAAAGCCCGGCAGGGTAAGGTGAAAGCCATGATCCTGTAAACCACCAACAAACTCACACACAAACGTCTGGTGCCATTGCTGGCTCCAACTTCGGCGTTCGTCACTCTGCATGTGAAAGTATGTGAGCTGCTATACCAAACATGGCAATCTCTCTGATCCATATTCTCACTTATGGCAAATACTGACATTTGATTGAAAGGTTTGAAAAAGGCACTAAGCCAACCATTACTGGTTTTGATGGAGTTGTTCAACCTGGAGAAGGCTCAGGGAAGACCTCATAGCAGCCTTCCAGTGCTTAAAGGGGCCTTAAAGGGCATGTAGTGATAAAACAAGAGCGAATGGCTTTAAACTGAAAGAGAGTAGATTTACATTAGATATTAGGAAGAAATTCTTTACTGCGAGGGTGGTGAGATGCTGGAACAGGTTTGCCCAGAGAAGTTGGCTTGGAAAGGCCCTTAAAGCACATCCAGTTCCAACCCCCTGCTGTGGGCAGGAACACCTTCCACTAGACCAGGTTGTTCAAAGCCCCATCTAACCTGGCATTCAACACTGCCAGGGATGGGGCAGCCACAGCTTCTTGGGGCAGCCTGTGCCCCAAGTCTCACCACCTATTCTACTAATGTTGTCAGTATAGGACCCCAACCACAGCAACTCTCGGTAAACTGCCACAGAAGTAATAATAAGCAACAGTGGAGGAGAGAGAGAAAGGGAAGACTGAGAATGAGAGAAGAACTTTGAGTCCTATGGTTTAAGAGGCATTGCCTCCTGGTCCTCAGCATTTTTGCAGAGGACTTCAGCAATTCCAGTTTCTGTTGCTATATTGCTCTTCCACTTTGCAGTAGTATCTCTGGTATCAGCTGGTGTTTCTAATATCAAATAAACCCCAAAATAACTAAAGACTGTAAGTGGAAAAAAAGTCTCTGAACTTACTGTGGGAATGATCACAATGATTTTAGAAATTACATCTTCAACACAGATATCTGTAATAGCAAAACTTATTATGATAATGAAGATTAATAATTGTTATGGCCATTTGGAAACTGTTAGAGCTTCAGAAATAAACTCATTGAAATAATTTGCTGAACAAGCTTAGGGAAGGAACTCTGTTCCACCAAACCCCATCTCAGCATTTTCATTAAATGCAGACTACAAGCTGGCAATGCAGTCAGAGAAAAAACAAGTTTAAAAAACAAAGCACCTTTGAGTCCTATTCCTTGTTCATGTTTCATTTTACTTATTGTATTGCAGTTACGTTCTAATCACATTTCCTTTCATTTAGAAAAGATCTTAGACTGCTGTAGTGAAGATTCCCTGAAGCAATGGAAAAAATTAAGTCAAGTCCTACATTTGAGATGTTTCCTAAGTTTGAAAACCAGTACATCCAAACCCCAGAATTATCCAGGGTCATGTAAAAGCACAGTCTTTCAATGCAGAACAGAACCTTAATGCTGCACCTTCTCCTGAATCTCGGGTTGTGATAAACTCTAAGGGCCTATAAAACTTTCCTTTGGCTGATTTACTCCTATTACCTTGCCAGATCACCCTCTCTCCAGTTATACCTACTCCTTTATTTTATTTATGTGTTTCTCCAGAGAAGTGTTTTGTCTGCTCTCACTATTCCCCAGGTTAAATCTTTTCTCGGAGCAGATCCAAAAAGTACCTGCCCTCTTTTCATTTACATTTTGCCCAGAAATTACACTTTTTATGAGGCTTATGAAAAGCCAAGTACATCCATTCATCTTATGATTTATTCTAAGTTGACTGAACCACATGAGGTCCAGAGCTAGACCACTGAAAAGTAAGCAGAATATGATAACAAGAAGAACGGAAAAGGTAAGGAAGAGGGTGGGGAAAAGAAAACCAGTGTATTCCAGTAATAAATAATGTGATCTCCTGATGCCTTCTCTGTATGTTACATACTTATTTCTCAGTCTTTGCCTCCCTCTCCCTATTTAGACTCTGGGAGAGAGACTCTCTTCCTCTGTGTTTAGAAAATGCTTGGCATTCCAGTTTCTGCTGCTGTCCTCCTCATAAATAACCATCATGCTTCCCTTCCCTGGTAGCAAGGGCACACACAGAAGGGCAGTCATCAGGGTCATACAGTTGAAGGACATGCTGGATCCTGCAGTATCTTCCTGGTACAGACAATAACCTGAACCCCTCTTGGGGTCAGAGACAAGTCTGCATACTGAAGTCACAAGGAGACTGAAAGCCTGTTTCAGTTGTATACCAAAGCACTGATTTAAATATACTTTGGGTTTGTTTCCCTGTTTTGCCTGTTGGTTCCATCTACATGAAAATATAGTGCAGACCTTGAGAACTGCTGTGTTAAGAAACAGGACAGCAAAGACTGTCTCGTTAGAAATACCTGCAGAACAAAAGAAAGTCTTGGAAACCTGTCATATTGTGTCCTGTTTTTAAGACTGGACTATTATAAGGCATAGGCTCCTACCAGCATTGGGATTAGGAGATCAGCTGTGCTAAATTCAATGAATGTGTAAAAAGTCTATAAAATACCCGAATTACTAGTAAGAATAGTAATTAAATTAAGATATTCACTGATCATGCTCTTAATAAGATAAAATGTAAGGTGTTCCACTCTGTCTTGAAATATTAATAAAGATATTTAATAGCAAATGTATTTGGTGTATGGTTGCTGCTGAAAACCCTGTAACAGAGCTGCAATAACCCAAGCGGTATGTCAGTGAGACCACTCCCTCTGTTGTTTCTGAGATAATTGATTCCCAGATCCCTGTGTCTATTATTAGGAGTGATCACTAAAGTAGTGTTAGATTTTCTTTTCCCACAAAGATTTCAATACGTTCTTTCTCCATATAAACTGGGAGGAAAGCTGTCTCAGCAAATTAAGAGCCCACAGTGACACCTTCTTATAAAGTACAGAATTCTTGGTGCTGAATGCAGAATCTCCTAAATATTAGCATTATTAAAGATGACACAGTCCTTGCATTTTCAGACTATTAATGACACATTTTTGCACACTTAGATTCATCTTGCCTTACATCAGCCACCTAGAAGCTCTTTCATAAGCTTTTGATCTAAGCTGCTTCTGTAGCCAACAGAGAAAGACAGGCATGTCCAGATGATCACCCATCTTTCCAAAACCAGGCACCTCTGAAGAGCAAGCCTATCCTTACCCCTTAGTATGGACAAATTCAATTGGGAATCCGAGCTCTCATGTTTAAGTTGACAGAAGAAATATACATCTCTGCTTATACTGCAAATGTGATGGTGTCAGCCAGTACCTTAGTGACAGCTAAGGGGAACAGTTAAGATCCACCCAGTTTCAGTGATGCCATTGAAAAAATGGTAACCTATACAGGCCTTTGAATCACTGCAGTTTGGAATTCCGTTATTATCACTTCTGCAGGAAGGAAACTACAAATACTGACAAGTGCCACAACCTCTGGAAGCCTCTCATACTTCCAGAAAAGTCCTGAATTCCTCCAGTCACATCATGCAAAACTAAGGGATCAAATCTATTGCCGTTGTGCTATTCAACCATACAGACACAATGTGACAGCATAGCCTTTATGAGAATAAATTTTCATGATACAGAGCAAAACTTAGTTCTGTAGTCTTCCAGAGCCCCTGCTCTGTAACTCCAGTACGTCAATGCTGACAGCCTCAGGCGTAATCAGAATTCTCTGTAATCAGAACTGAATGGGCAATAGTCCACATTTCCTCACTCCCATTTTCATCTGACCTGCCTTCTGCACTCCCTCTGCAGTACCCAAAACAGAGCTGTAATGGAACCCAGCTTCCCCACCCATGGGACATGTAGGGTTTCACTGCATTGCCATTAAAGCAGCTGCTTGTCCTCCTGCACAGAATTAAGATGTCTTTCACCATACTTACACTACTGAGAAATTACAGTCCCACACAGAGCCAATGACTGGAGAAAATCCAAAACATAACCATAGATTGCACTTGAATACCCATGACAACAAATAAACCCATGTGAATAACACTTGCAAATATATCATAATTGTAGCTACAAAGTTAAAATTTTAGTAAAGCTACTTAAGTTTTTCATTTTATACTTTGTATTACTTAATATAAGGTTTGAAAAGCTAAAGGATTTAATCCTTTTCTATTTAAAGTGAGCATTGATTTTGTTCCCCTCTGTTTCAAAAAGACCCAAACCCAATGCAAATATTTTTATCCAGGAGGCTGTAATGGCACAATTACAAAGCAAGTCTCATGTCAGATTGCATCTCAAAACTGTGGCATTGCTTTGTTGAAAACAAAGCAGAGGAGATATTGTTATAGTTTCACCTCCAATTGTTGCTGTATTATTCATGGACAAGTTAGAGGCTTCTGCCAAAATCTTTTCTAATCCTTCAAATGGTTCTGTCTGGACCAT